AATCGTTTTACAGTGCGACGCATGCTACAGTGGACAGCCAATACCTTTACCAGACCCAGCCCCAGTTTACATAACCTCCTCCATAGATCCTTCCCCCCCCCCCCCCCCCCCCCAATTCCCAATTCCCTAGAGTGTCGCTACATGGGCTAATGTTTAGAAGTTTGTAAAAAATCGAACTTAGTACCCATGATATTCAATTACCGTGTTCATTTGAGTGCCTAGGGTAGCATGGCTCTCTCTGTAATGATATCATGATCGCACATGCAGTTTAGATTTTTTGCGCGCTGACCTGCCACCACAGGAAACCCATTTTAGAGACTTTGCACCATCACGTGATGGCAGCCATGACATGAGGCAAGAATAATTGTATCTGGTCTAAACTGATTTACATGAGAAAAAAATCAGTTTCCCAGGGGAAAAGACTGTTGTTATRCYTCCTGTCATGGCTACCATCACGAGATAATGTAAAGCCTCTTCAYCTACCTCCAAAGGTGTCTTATTAAAACGATTCACTAAAGTTGCATCTGAAAAAAAAACAAATATGAAAAAACAGATGGAAAATCATACCAAACTGCACGACCTTTCTCCAATGGTTTACAAAGAAGAATACATAGAGCGTTCAGCACTCGTACAARGAAGCCATATTGATGTAACAAATGATAGAAACTGTTGCCACAGTTTTCGCATAAAAATAGAGTTTAATCTCGGAGTAAAGAAAATGTACTGTTTTGGAAACCAATATGGCTGCCTTGTCACGTGAGGGAAAACCCTCTATAGAAAATTACCGCGCACTGTGTATGCACTTTGTTTTACGTGGAACAGCTGGTCAAAACCCAAACGTGGGTTCCCTGTGGGTTTGAGGCGATAATTTGTGTGCGGCTGAAAGTCGCTTTACGTGGTTTTATACCTGCTCCTTCTCTTAACAACATGCTGACAGCATCAGTTCTCCCGTTCATGACAGCCACATGAAGCGCTGTTTGTCCATCAAAGTCACAAATATTCACGTGACCAGACCATCTGAGCATGCGCTTTAGACATTTGGTATCTCCATCCCGCGCCTTTTCTGTGACGAGTGACGCTAGTTTGCATTCGTTGACAGCGGCTCCGTGGGACTTGAGAAACTCGACCACATCGTGGTGCTTGTTGATTATTGCTTCTAACAGACATAAGATATAAGTACACTGAATTRCGGGTCAGAGAAAATCTATGAAGTCATGACGGTGTGTGAATGACTAGATGACTGACAGTTAGAAARAGCGACATAACGTACCTAAAAGAGGTGTAAACTGGTTTTTATCGTGGGCATTGATATTAATACCAGGCTGCAAAACAAGGAATTTTACCACGTCAAGGTGCCCTTCAGCTGAAGTAACATGTCTGGAGAAMAATGTTATAAGCAAAATGTCTTTTTTAGAAAATATATATTCTATCTTAAATAATATTTTCAAACAGGCCGATTTAATTTGCAAAAATTCAAGGCACGGGTGTCAAAGTTAAGACACTGGACCCAAGCATTCTGATTGGTTGAGCACGTATCCCTCCTTCTGTGATTGGATGTCGTCATTTCCGTACCGTGACCGTGCCTTGCTATTGCACTAGTAGGAATACTTACAAAGGAGTTCTATGATTGACGTCCCTGTAGCARATAGAAGCACCATTATGTACCATGTGACGTAACATTTGAAGATTCCCAGTACTCGCCACCTCAGAGATTTCTTGAATGCTGTAATGGCGCGAAACACGTCTAGCTCCCAGGCTCTCCAGTAATTGACTGACCGCGCGATGCTCGTGCATGTCGGCGTACTGGAGAGATACAGAGGTTTTTAAAGTAAAGAGGTTTCTYAAAGTGAGGATACAAGTAGAGGGGGAGGGGGGAACCTGAAGAACATATTACTCCTTTTTAAAACATGGACTACGAGCGGTCCCTGTGGTCATTGTTTGGGATTCTCTGTGGTTAATTTGGTSTAGCTACTAATCCTCGCTCGCASTCTATCAAAAAGRGAGTGCCGAGGCAGTCTTGASAACAACAAYGCCAACAACTTTGGGTAAAGCAAAGGCAACGTTCTATACAACGTCCCTCAGACAAAGGAGCTAAAAGGGGGCTTATAGTGCTTCGAACCACCCCTAACTCCGCCCTGTACGGGTTTAAGTATTCACTTACATTTAGCGGCGCATTCCCACTGGAATCAATAGTATTCATTTCAGCACGTTGGTCAATCAAATACTGCACCACTGCACGGCTACCGAGCTTCGACGCCACGTGGATTGCGCAATGACCATCAGAATTGGGAGCATTTACATCTACCCCCAGTGAAACAAGACGGCTTATTTCTTCGATGTCATTTTTAACTAAAAAACAACAAAGTAGTGTACTTGCAATTCAATATGCAACACAGCCCCTATATGAACACCGCTATAAGGAACACTGACCTTATGAACACCCCTATATGCAGCACTGCCCCTATATGAACACCCCTATATGCAACACTGCCCCTATATGAACACCCCTATATGCAGCACTGCCCCTATTTGAACACCCCTATATGCAACACTGCCCCTATTTGAACACCCCTATATGCAGCACTGCCCCTATATGAACACCCCTATATGCAACACTGCCCCTATTTGAACACCCGTATATGCAACACTGCTCCTATTTGAACACCCGTATATGCAACACTGTCCCTATTTGAACACTCGTATATGAAATGATCATGAGTGGTTAACCTACCTACAGCGGTGCACAGTAGGCCCCCTGCTCCATCTTCTGCCCAACTGGCTCCATGTCGAATGAGACACTGCACAACACGATCATGGCCATACTTGATGGCCTCTGAAAGAATTAGACAAACTAAACTAAACAATGTGTTTTTATTCAAATGTTAACAAATATAAGCKTCTTATTAGAACTTCTGGGTTTCAATCAGCTGATAAAAGCTTCTAAATGGTTGTGTCAAACACTGACCACCATGTGCTGTCAGCCAGAAAGAATTCTATTGAAAACTTGCGATTCGGCTGATGAACATTCCGCACGAGACAGGAAACAGTGGCTGATCCGGGGGGTGGTTCCGTGGGTTCCATTGAACCCTCCTTATCCGAGATCTTGTGAAGCCAATCATGTTCTTTACGCTCAGTAGAATGACAATGGAAGCCCCCTTTTGGGAAGCCAATCTTACCAGATTTTTCTGCGTGGCGACCATTTTGAATCGCCCCTTTTTAAAATCCTGGATCCCCCACTGGGAAATGACGTCRAATGAAATCAAGGAATAATAAGGTGTATCGTTCGATAGATCTCTTTATCTTGGGCTTTATGTTTTTCCATTTTAGACCACGTGTCACTCCCTCATTTAACGACTGCGCATGAGAAGACTCAGAAATAGATACAACTCAAACAAAGAATCTTCTTCTCAAGGGAATGACACGTGGTCTGAAATGGGAAAACATTACGCACAAAGAGGTCTATTTAGAATTTGATGAAATTTCTTACCCGTTAGTGCTGTAGCTCCCCATCTATCCTTGGCGTGAATATCTATTCCAGGCTGGCGTAGAATCAMCTTGACGCACTGGATGTGTCCATGTGAAGAGGCCAGTAAACTACAACACAACAAACAATGGTAAAACTTTGTAACTCATCATGGAGCGTTCATAATTAATGGGGTGAGGGGTAGTTATGGGGATTTTGAGAGGCCAAGCCATTTTTCTGGTAACAATTACAGAGGTTACTGAAAGTCTTTACTTTGGGAATTTGACACTTCAGAAACCAGGTGATCTCGTTTTGACAGCCCATCAAAA